TCCAGCTGCACTAATCCTTGAGAAAGCTAGGATAGTCTTATCACTGCAGAATATTCCAATTTGTTTACATTGTTAGTTTCACCAGGATCACCACAATGATACTCCTTTGGCTGAACTTCATTATAAAACCTGTTTCATCAGAATGAAAAAAAAGGACCAATAGTTCTAAGACTTTTTTTAATATCAAATTAATAGCCACCCCACCCACCCAGTATCCTTAAACATGCTTATAATACAGGTGCTATTCCAGTTAAATAGACATGGGCAATTGGAAAGAATATTCATAAAAGCCAGTTATCATCACTGAATGTGGCATATGGTGCTGTTGATCTGTTGATCAACATCTTGTCAATCTTACCTGTTGATCCTACTGCTAATATCTGTTATGAAAATTCAAGGACTCAAGAGAGAATTTGTTATCAGTTAAGACTGGCAACCAATTGCCTCACGATATCAGTTCTTAAAGTGGAGTGCACCACTGAAATCAGCTGGTTAGCAAGACTTTGGCTTAAATTTCCATGTCTTTGAAGAAAATTAGGATATATCTTGAGTGATAGCACAGATCACAACCTGCCTTTGCTTAGCTCTATATAGTATTCCTCATAGACTTCTGCCACTATTTTCTCATGACCCCTGTTTGATCTCATTGAAAAGTAAAAGCACTGACAATTCAGCAATTATGATAGACAGATCAGAGGAATTCAGAGTAAGATTGACAGGCAGAGAAGTGAGGGGAGGAGTAGAGTTATTCTGACAGTGAACATGTGCTAATAAAACAAACCCATACAATGCATCTTAGTGTCAGAAGAGGGAGCAAGAAAGAAGATGAAAGTCAGCCTTTATTTCTGCTCTTGCCAAATGCAGTGAAGTCTTGAAATAAATTTTTGATAGCCTCTTGCTAACTAGAGCAACACAATTTTAAAATGACAGTAACACCCACCTTGCAAAGAACCACCATGAAATCTCAAGTGCCCAGGTTTCTTTGTTTTTTTTAATGAAGGATGAATCTCTCTCACACACAGAGAGGGGGGGGGAAGGAGGGAGGGAGGGAGGGAGGGGGAGAGAGAGAGAGAGAGAGAGAGTGTGTTCTGGTTAACAGCATGGTGAATATCTGGCACTCTGTTTCCAGGCAAATTTTCTGTGGAAAATATATCAAGAGAATAGTTTCTTGTCTGGCTATGATGTGTAATGCTTGTGGATGCAGAGATGTACATTTCAAAGAGAAAGCTTTCTTATTGCTATAAGCTAATCATAGGCATCATTGAGCATGATCAGGTGTCCAGCAAATATTATCCAGGTAAAACAAAGTATAGGCATTTATAAAGAGTGGTTCGTTTTTCTCTTCTTTTTCATAAAATGTTGAAAGGAGGGACTGAAAGAATGCTTGGGTTATTCAATAACATATTACAATATTTGCAACATTCAGGTCCCCACTTACAATGGTTCTAAGCTTCTGGCAGTGGAAGAGGCCCTGAAACCAGCCAAAGAATACTATACACAAATTATCTGTAAATATGCATGAATGTAAGTAGATATTTGTAGCCCACCCACTTTGCACAGAGTTGTCTCCTGTTAAAATTATGTTATACCTATAACCATTTCAGGATAGTGACTTTGAAAAAAACCAGCTTCTGTTCTTATTCTATTTTTCCAGAGTCATCACAGAAGGAGGCATCTTGCAAAATTAGCAAGATGGTAGATGGAGCCATGCAATGGAAGCTCCACTTCTTTTATACCTGTGTTGATGCTTCATACACATTCAAATGATTTGGCTTCTGGCTGTGTTGGCTGGCAACATAGCACTTTGTCTGCCATCCTGCCTTCGCACATACACACATACCACCTGCAGATGCTGCTGAGCTTTTCTATTCATCTGCTAATGCTGATGAGGCTGATCCTACCAGGAGTGGAAATATGGTCTGGAGTGACCAGGTGGCCAGAATAGAATCCTAAGGAAGTAATCAAAGAGCTTATATTCCATGCTCTGCTGAGACAATAATATCTTCAGCCTTTCCTTAAAACATCTAATGAATATACCATATTCTTAGATGGTTCCATTGTAGGTTATCTTTTACGTTTGCTATTTGGCATATAGGTTTTAAATTTTTATAGGGTCTTTTCATTTTGTATAATGGTTTTATATTTTTATAAATATTTAATATGTTTTATATATTTGTTGTTTTTATTGATTGCTGCATGCCGCCCAGAGTCATTCCTGTAAGATGAGCAGCCATATGAATGTGATAAGTAAATATTCTACAATACTTTATTTCATTGTTAAACTTTAGTGTTTATGCAAAATCATGTATCTTGTATACAAAATGCATCTGTTTGATGTTTTGCACTCTGGAACAATAGATTTTACATTTTGAATATTTAAAGATATCTATCATATCACCTCCTAGTTATCTTTGTTTACATCTGTGTCCTTCTTTATTTCATTTATTAGAAATGTTTGTCATCTTTCATAAAGTATTCCTAGGCAACTTTCAGTGTTCTAAAATCCACAATATCTAATGTTTCTTCATTGGACTTGTTTTAATCTAAGGCTATTAAGAGTTCTACAGCCAATAATTTGCATCCTCAGAGATCCACTGAGCACCTCTGATGAAATATGTATGATATGTGTATTGAAAGGTGGATTTGAGCCTCTAAGCTATCTGTGAAGACGCTGAAGTCTTAAAAAAGCAAAATAACCTTGATGTATTTTTCTTTCTACAACAACCCATATTCCAACTGCTGGTTATCTGTAATCCTAATGCAGTTTAATGAATATCTGCAGGGCTGCTTCCGATTGCAAAGCATCAAAACTTCCTTCTGGGAAGTAGCATTTAGATTATATGCACTCCATTTAATGTAATAGTAGAACTGATTAAATAATACATCTTCAGATAGACCTTTTGAATTTAAGTGAGGCAGGAATTATGGCACATGTGAATGTCACTACAACAAGAAGCTTGTTATCCATTGACTATGCTGAAAATGACCCATTCTGCTATTTCTTTCAGCACTACCTTGTGAGATCTTCTTTTAGCTCAGTGCCAAAGATGAGTCAATACCAGCAGCAGCTTATATTTGAAATCCATGATTACCAAAGGTTTTTAGTAATTTTACTAAATTACTGGTAGGTTGTTGCTGTTGTTGTTTGGTGGGCTAAAATGGGCACAACTTATTACAAAACAAATTATCATGGAAAATTTAATTCAGAGAACCATCCTGCCCCAGGAAAGTGCCACAATATTTTTGATGAACTTAGGTGCAGAAGCAAAGCTTTGGTCTCTCGTATCCTAAGAAACACTTTAAAAGCAGCAGCACTTTTAAAAGGCACGATTTAGTTTCTCACATTATGCCCTTAATCTTAAAACGCCATCAAGTGGAGATTTTTGGTTTCCCCCTCTAACACCAATTCATAACCAATGTGTGACATACCAACTGATCCAATTATAGACAGTTGTTACTTACTTTCTGCAGAGAAAACACAGACCTTTACACTTCTGTAGCAGATACGGATAATGACAAATAGAAGTTAGTCATACTTTCTTCTGGGTTAGCCATAAACAAATCTAGAAAAATCTATCCCTCAAAAGTGGTGCTGGGAATAAATAGGTGTCTAAGTTAGACAGCTCTGCCCATTGACTAACAGTGTAATTCTTTGCTTAAATGGTATCTTTCACCTTAGCATATTAGCCTGCTGCGAAAAGTATTTAAATTCATAAAAATTAAATAATTCCAGGCTGTGCTTGCTGGACAAAAGTTAAACAGATGATTTTATTATTTAGTCACTGAAGCAAAACGGCCAAAGGTTTATCATAGCCTAGAGGTGTTTCAGAGCATTATCTTTGAGGCAACAAAACATCAGAACCATTATTTTCAATTCCAGATACTATCTATAGTAAAAACAGTGGAGAAAAAAATCTAGTCTGAGGACAAATTAGCATAAAGCATCAAGGGAAAAACCAGCCACAGTGCTGTGGGGGAAAGGGGTAGCAAATGCAAATTATTAATGCAATTAACTTAGAAGGGAGGTAGGGAGAACAATTGAAATAACTCACCCCCATACTATAACCATCTCAAAGTACTACACGTCCAAACACTGTCTGAATCTTATCCTATTCCTATTCTCTCTCTCCTTCTCCAACATTTTTTTACATGTATTTACCAAACAGCAAAAAGCAGCCTTCTCCATTATGCTGCCTTCATTTATTTATTTGCTGGGAAAGCAGTTTTCTTTAAGTGTCTTTCTGCTGCAGCCCAAATGGAGGCAGACATTCTTCTCCTTGGACCCTTTTAAAGCACTGGGGTTTAAGACAATAATTTAAAAAACCCCAATTCAATATACATGCATTATTTAAAAAAAAATACCAAATGGGCAAAATGCAACACTGCTTTCTTATTTGATGGAATAAGGTTTCCTTTTCTGCAACACTCCTTTGGTCTGCCCAAGTCTGACCACTCCTTTGGTCTCTCTTTATTTAAGTCTTATTTGATTGACTGCCTTATAAAGGGAAGATCTTCCCACCACTCCTTCCCACTCAACCCTGCAATCTCAGTGATTCAGTGCAAGTGATTACCAGGACCCTTGTGCTCATATTTCATTGCCTGACCAATCCCACTGGCAGTGCTGATATGTTCATTAGCATATCTGCAAACATCAAAGCCCTCAAACACAGCAAAGTTCTTCACATGTGGTGAGTTCTCCTGTCACTAAAGTCAGGAAGAAAGGGGGGGGGAGCAATAGCTCATTACAAAGATGCACAAATGCAGAACTGCACACCTCTTGCTAACTGCAAGCCTGACGAGCTGGTATTTCCTCAGAGTGGAGCATCACTAATCCTACAATACAAGAAAATCACCAGCAGTTCAAATTTGAAGGAGGAGGGAGACAGACAGGCAGGCAGGCAGATAGACACACATATACTGCTGGGATAGGAAAGCGATTTCTCAGGCAATCTCAAGGGGTTTATCCATTCATTAATACAAAGGGAAATTGAAGAACTCACCCTTAACGATTAGGCGAAGCTCTGCCAAAATTTTCTCCTCCTGATGTTCCTCTTTAAAAAAAAAAAAAAAAATCCACATTACCCCAGTTCACAAAATCTTCACTTTCTGAGAAGCTTGGCAAGAAGCTATTTGTAGTTCTTGTGTTGCTCAATTCCTTAAGATTTTGTGTTCTTTAAAACTCCCTCTCCTTTTCTTTCAGTCTAAAAACAGAAAAGCTCACTTTCGTTTCTTCCTTCTGTCCAAAATCAGGACGGGCATGAGTCTTGCATACTTTAAGAAGCAGTTCGTAGTGGGGGTTATACATACAGGTATATAATGTTTCATTCATTCACCTGAGCGTAGCAGAATGCCCGTCCTTCTGTGTGGAACTCAGCAAGCTTTTCCTGTGGCTCTTGCAGGTCTCCTGATTTCCTCTTACACCACTTGATAATGAATGGATATTGTTGAGGGGTTGATTTCCTGAATCCCCGAAACACACGCGCGCGCGCAACATACAGCACACGCAAGCTTTCCCCACACATACACACACACACACACACACGAAGTGCCTCGCTTAGGCTAGCCCCGAGGAGCTGTCCTTGGCTTATGGTTCTGAAAGAATCTTCCGTTCTAAAGCCAGTCGCTAAGAAGCTGGGAAAGAGAGAGAATGTGTGTGTGTGTGTGTGCGCGCGCGCGCGCGTGTATCTCTTATCCTCTACGAATCCCGCTGAAGAAAATCTGTATTCCGTAGCCAGCGGTGCTGAGGCAGGGTTTGTTTGCCGCTATACACCTTCCAGATCCACTTCCCTTTTTCAGTTTCAAGGAAATCCTAGAATTTAACACATAAAGTAGCAGAACTCTTTCCAGCAGGGATTGAATTTGTAGTGTCAGATGAATCTCAATCTTCTTTGTCTCTCATGGGTGAAAGCCTTCAAACGGTTCCTCCTCTCAGCATTCAGGGATAGCAGCAAAAGGAGATTGGTCCTGGATGAAAAGATAGACACTGGGAGAAAATGAATGATGGGGTGGGAGGGAGGGGATCTACCATCGCACAAAACTAAATTCAGTCTGATAACATCTGCTGAACAGCATGCACAGGCAGCCAGAAAGGAGGGAGGCATGTAAGTTTTGCAGTTGGATCTGCTGCTAAGCAAAAGGCTTTTGATTTCTGCCAGCCTTTTAAAGAACTAGTACACCTTGATATTACAGCAAACGAAGCCCTACAAGATCCTTTTGAAGTCATGTCATTCCACAGAGTTATTTTTCCATTCCACATATTAGAAAGTTTATGTATGTGCACTCAACTCTGTGTGATGGAGATTTAGTCCGTGGAAGCATATATAATAATGAACGTGCTAGTCTAAGATACCACAAGGCTCTTTGTTACCTGTATTGGAATGCAATTTTTTAAAAAACACACACACAGCCTTTCAGTACTCAAGAGTCTCCTCATTTAAAATTCAAAACTTAGATGCGTAAAATAAGCATTATGAATTATTTATATGAAGGCTTGGTCACTGTGTTTAGGAGCACAGATAATATTACAAATGTAGAAGTATTTATTTAGATTCAGTGATGTACTGTAAGCATAGACTAAACACATTTCGGAGAGTTTTATTATGATAACTATGAAGCAACCTTTAACTCTCTTTAACTTTACCAATTTAGAAATGTACCCTATGGTCAATTGTTGAGGACCACTAAAAATATTGATCCTGGAGTTTGTTTAGGACTCAGACATAATGGAACATGACCTCACTTAAAACAATTTCCAATCATAGTTTTATTTTACCAATTATAAACTAAAGCTATATAAATAAACTTTCCCATTCTGTTTACAAATGCCAGTTGAGATTACAAGAATTGCAGCCTAATATTTCTGTAAAGGACCAGGCTGAAGAAAGCTAAGGGGGGGGGGGAAATACCCTTTTATTTAGGGTGCTGCAAAGGGAACTTGGTGGTTCCTTCGGAAAAACAGCTTCAAAGATCCATATATCCCTGTTTGTCCACAATACTATCTTATCTTATTGTAATTATAAGGCTGTAAACCTCAGGCTTTTACCTTCAAAATTTGTGTATTTCACTGCATATACCATATACAACAGAGCTCTGCTGTGCATTATATAGTCAAAGCTAAAAACAACAGCAGAGTCAACGGAGCTCTCAATTGTAACACATCTTATGGTAATGAGAAAACTCACTGGCAAGCCCCAATGGCTGCAAAATAGTCACTCTGACCTATTAATTAATCCAAAACAGGACCCTTTAGAAATCATCATTGACAGAATTAACTACTGTAATCTATCAACATAATGACTGATACATAAATTGGTCATGAAAATCTATCTGCAGCATGTTCAACACTGTCACCTGATCAAGGGTGAGAGGCAGTTAGGCCAGCAACAACTGCAGTGTGCATTTTGCACAGTACAAAAAAACCAACCAGCTTCCGTTTTACTTTACATTCTAAAGTAAATATTTGAATATTTGAACTTAGTTATTCTAAATGACATCACTAAGACATGTCAGGCAAAGGGGATTCTGACTTTGGGAGCAAAACATTTATCTCTCAAATCAATAGCAGAAATTGCTTGAGGAAACTGGGCTGTATTTGCAAGACATGGAACAAGAGAGAAACATACATCCAACAAGATATCAGTAGCTATCGTAAAGCAATTGGAAGGCAAGCAGGAGGAAGCAGAGCTGATCCACAACAATTGTTAAATGATTGTTAGCCTACCCTATAGAACAAAACAGTTTCTGTTTTTAAGAAGCCTGGAGTGATCACATTCCTCCTCCACTGACTCCTTACTGACACAGACCATATATTAATGGTATTGATTGTCCCTTCAGGATTTCTCTCACCTGTTCATATAATAGCTCTCCTATAATGCAAAATGTTGTACAGATTGGTTATTTCAGCCGTGATTGAAAGATAAGGAATTCCCTGGAAATTAACAACTGGCTGTGTGCAGGGAATAGAAACAGATGTGTGAAATGCATTTTGCATCATCAACATTATTAGTGTACTTATCTGCATCAGATATGGCTCAAGCTATTTTCCTGCTTTAGACGAAAAAATATTTTCTCATCCCCGTTTTCTATTTTCTATAATAGGGAGAAGAAAAATTATTTTTCCTCTTCAGTGATTTTTCTGATTGTTGCAGCCCTTTCATAGTTCTATGGAAGCAAATGGAGCCAAGGGAAAGGACCATCAGCCCATTCCTTATATGGGGAGAGGGGGTAAAGGGAATGACAGTAGGAAATGAGCATGGCTGAAGTATCTATCAACATGGATGCCTTAAAATGTTTCTCAGTTTGATGTCCTCTAGATACTTTAGAATGCATACTGTCTTGGACAATTAAAAAAATATAGGAGACATCAAGTTGTACAACGAGGATTGGAATTTGTTATCCCCCAAGAACTAAAACAGGGATTGTTCTTCCTCCTAGATGATTTTTGAAATGAGTTTAAAGCCTCTGGGATCAATCATGCTAAGCAGCTTGTCATACTAACTCTAGTCAGGAATATGCATATGACTATAAATCTATTTCATTTTAACAGTACATGTTGTTTTCATCAAATCAGTTTTTAAGAACTACACAAAACCCTCACAACTGAATGATTTTCTTTCTTCAATACACTATATTATAGATGCATTTTTATATTCTGCTTATGTAGATGATTTTTGTATTCAAATGATCCAAGATTTGTTTCTATACAACTCTTCCTAATGTGTACTTTACTGAAATGTATCTACCCCAATTTATTTTTTTTCATATGCAACTTTCTCATATATAGTCTGATGTTATGTACAACTTTCATATCTAGATATTCCAAGCTGTTTTGTATTTTACCTTCACAAAGAAATATTGTTTCTTTAAAAAAAAAAATCCAGCAAAGGAGGAATGCCAGCAGACTCAATTCGCTGTTGATCTTCCCACTATGATGATTAACACTCTATATGGATTAGGAAATTTTCTATAAAAATAAATCTATGTTCAGCATTTTATTGATGCCACAGGAGAATTACCAAATGTTAGATGCTGATTTGCCAAGCAGTGGTTTATCAAACAGCTACCAAATGATGGGTTGTCAAATGCTGCATTTTGCCTACTAGGAGTCTATGCCATCTCTTCCCTTAATAGCAATAGCAATAGCACTTAGACTTATATACCGCTTCACAGTGATTTACAGCCCTCTCTAAGCAGTTTACAGAGTCAGAACATTTCTCCCAACAATCTAGGTTCTCATTTCCTTCAGAACGATGGAAGGCTGAGTCAACCTTGAGCTAGTCAAAATCAGACTCCTGGCAGTGAGCAATGAGTTAGCCTACAATACTGCATTCTAACTACTGCACCACCACGGCTCCAGAAAAAAGTAAATAGTAACCCCATCAGACAAAATAATGAATCTGTTATGTTATGGGCCAACTAAATATGTTGTGATCTGGATAAGACCCTAAACAATAGCTCAGAATTTTAAAAAATGTTAGTAATTACTATTTCATTCTTTAGTAAAATTAATGAGAGAACAGGAGTTTAAAAAAATTACACTGGGGTGCTAATTCGTAGTTCCAGCTCTCAAGAGCAATTTCTTTCTGTAAGATGCATGGTGAAATATCTTCTGTGCAAGAACCATTATGCTAAAATACTAATGTCATTATTTTAAGAAAGTAAACTTTCACACCCAAGTGCTTTTTACTGAGTTGAGCCAAGTGGCAAGTTTAGACCTCTGAGTTTTCTTACCACAGTATAACCATGATCAACACTCAGTTGAGAAAGATGCAGAATTCGTAAATGTCAATGAACAACTTTTTGTCCAGTCCCATTATTTTTCAAGTTACAGAAAACAAGCATAAATAATATGTGGGGGAGAGGGTGTTGCTATTTATCAGCTTGATCAATTGATTGATTGACTGATTGATTGATGTGGAGTGCAAAATAACACATCCTTACTATTAATTCCAAAGCCAAGGAAACTGATGAACAATGAACTTCAAATGAAGTTGTTAGATTGTCCTCTTTCTTCAAAGAACTCACCAACTAATATTTTTTTAACTTATAGAGAGAGGAAAGAAAGGGGTGATCCCACATCAGATGTGGAACTTTCACACTTATTTTTGGGTCTAAATGTTCCAGTCATTGCAGTTAGGAAGAACGTTACCTTAATTATGGATTCCCTTCTTAAACAGGAACAAAGAATTAAAGAATTTAATTATAATTTTGATTAAAGAATTTCAACTGGCAGGGTTTAGGAAAAGGACCTTCTTTGCTGATGCCCCAGCCCTATGGAACGTCCTGCTTCCAGAAGTGAGACAGGCCCATACTTGTCTGGCCTTCCAGAAGAACTCAAGACCTGGCTCTACCAACTGGCATGGGAGTCTAAGAGTGGGATGTAACCCTGGGGATGCTTGAGAGCTTGTGAACATTTCCTCTACCTTTCTAATCTTTCTAAGCTTTTTAACTTGTTTTTAATTCTGTTTTTAACTTTGTTGTTACCTATGTCTTTTTTATAATATAATAATAATAATAAAGTTGGAAGGGACCTTGGAGGTCATTTAGTCCAACCCCTTACTCAGGCAGGAAACCCTATACCATTTCGGACAAATGGCTGTCCAGTTTCTTCTTAAAAACTTCCAGTGTTGGCGCATTCACTGCTTCTGGAGGCAGGTTGTTCCACACTGGTTAATTGTTCTCACTGTCAGGAAGTTTCTCCTTAGTTCTAGGTTGCTTCTCTCCTTAGTTAGTTTCCACCCGTTGCTTCTTGTCCTGC